GCGAGTTAATTTGATAAGGGATGGTACCGGTATGTTGCTCACAAAAAAAAAAGAACTTTTGACTACTGTTAATTATTTTTTAAAGTTACTTAACCAGTAAAAACTAAAAATACTAATTGTTTTCTTTCTTTCTTTCTTTCTTTGTTTGTTTGAAGTCCCTTCGAGAATTTTTCACTCATATTGAGACGCCACCACTTGCCGTTGGAGGGCTGCTTTAAAACTGTACTCGACACTTACAGGATCTACTTCTCTGTTCCTTAGTACTTCGACACGGGACATCGGTTTATACGGTCTCATCAGAAGGATCGGTCTCCACGTCCCGCAGTGGGATTCGAACCCGCGACGTAAGAATCACTCCGCGACTCTAGAGCAAACGCTCTAACTACTGCGCTACAAGGGCGACTTCATTCGTAAAGAAGATTTCTGAAGATTACATTATGATAAATTCGACCCAGCCCTTAGTCCCGGGGAGGGGAGGGGAACTGGGACCATAAAATTTACATTGTTTTTGTTTTTCTTTACCATGGCTCATGCTAAATGTTAAAATTGGCTGAAATTGGTATAGGGGTTCCAGAGCAGAAGCTGAAAATAGTCAAAAGTTTACGTAAGAAAGACTAAGCACGACGACGAACAAAAACAGATAGCAATTAATTTCTCGCATAATCACCGGTGTTAGATAGACCTGTCCAGTGTGAGACAGCAGTGTGAGATTTTTCTGTCTTACACTGCGTATCACTACGTTGCGAACGGTAACGTAAACATTCCTTCTTAAAAAATACTTGAAAAAATTTCTACAAAAAAAAAAAAAAAAAAAAAAAAAAAAAAAAAAAAAATACATATTCTTAAAATGTTGTTGTTTAATTTATTTAATCAAACTTAATTTCATTCAAAAGATTGTAATATTTTCACTTTCTAAATGGCACTATTTGTAGGTCGCGAAAGGATTTTGTTTTTTGTTTTTGTTTTTTTTAAATCCAGTTTATATAATTCAGAATGATTTAAGTGGGCTGAAATTTATTTTCTTAGGAATTTCACTATCCCACACTCGTAGTAATGAATGTTTCTATTAAGGTAACCTGAGTTACCTGAAAAAATATTTCAATGTCAGTGCCCATTTTTTTTTCCTATATCATAAGTACAAATCAGTACAAACCTCTGGAATTTTCAGGGGTCCGTGTGTTTATGCGCTCTTTACAGAATTGTATTATTCGTAATTTTTTTTTTTTTAGATCGATCACTGTTCGTTATCTTTACTTTTCCATTTGAATATATATATATATATATATATATATATATATATATATATATATATATATATATATATATATATATATATATATATATATATATATATATATATATATATACATTTTCTATAGCTAATTTTTATTCTCTGAATGATAAAACGAGACAGTTCTCTGATCACATGCCTGAAAACGTTTCTATATCACATTCCATATTTTCCTGAGACGATATACTACGTAACAGACAAACAATTAGCACATTCAGAATAAAAAACAGAGCAAATTCCCAGACAGCAGACTAAGCATTGTTATATAAAACATATAGGAAGTTGTTTAAACATGCAGACTAACACCCAAATTAATTTCCCGAATAATTAGTAGGCTCTTTATGTGTAGGTGTTTGTCGTTAATATATTGCACTTATTTATTTCTAATTATAAAAGTCGGTATTTCAGTTAAGATCCCTATCGTACTATATATTTACTTCCACTGAATATCTTCTCCTTTATTTCATATGAAAAAATACTAACAACCAAAGAAAACATTTTATCGTTTAATAAAAGCCGTACATTCAAGTTACGTTAATTTACATGTATATGTGTATAACGTCGAGTGACGTAAAATGTATTTCGTTAAGGCTAATTTTCAAATGTCTGTTTGCCCTCTACCGACTCAAGGATGAGAAAATTGGGTCGGTAGGTAGGTAAGAACATTTTTTTCTCGGAAAATTTCAAATTTCAATGCTAAATTTTAAAATCTATTTTCCAGAATACATAAAAAAAATAATTGCTTCCTGGAGGGCAAACAAACAATTTTTGAAGATGGCTTAATACTATCTTTCTCTCTTTTCATGGTTCCTCGTGTTCTCCATGATATCTTGTTGACTGATGTGTTTGGAAAAAACTGACATAATAACATTATAAACTTGATAAAATACGACAGAATGTTTTCAATCGAAAACAAATGAAAACAAAAAGTCACAATTTTCCAAAACGGCAGATTATGGAGACGGATTGCCCCTGAATCATTGCTGTGTTCTACTTCATTCAATTCTCAGAAAAATCTTTAAACAGGCCCCAAGACCATAAACTGAGAATAGACTTAAGTCAAAATTTTGATTTTTAATATCTTGAGTTTTATGTAATGTATTTGCTTAAAAGTGGTCAATTTTATGTAACATTTAAATTCAAATATATGATGAAAATTTTGTTTCATTATCAAAATTATTTCAAAAGTTATATTGGTTTGAAATTTTGACATCTAATTTGTACTTTGGTATTTTTGCCTTTTTTCAAAATTTAAGACTGAGCTAATTAATGTTACAGAATATTGATATAAAATAACTAATATTACACATTTTTGAAGAAAAATTGGTGTAAGAAAAAAGTTTCTCGATTAATTTCATCAAAGCTGCCTCCGTGAATCGTTCTGAATATCAATGCAGCCCCGTGAATGTCCTGTCGATAGCATCAACAATATACCAGATAGCATCAAATCGTATGATGTATTTCTTTTGGGTTCCTCTAATGCTTTCCATCAATAACGTTTGTTTGTTTCGTCAAAAAGGATCGAATCAAACATAATTAATCCATGTTAAAACATGGAAAACAATCAGTCAACTTAAGTATCTTGATGAAAAGATGATTATCGGGGGAAAAAATTCCGATAATTATTTTAGATCAGGAAATATCTTCATGCTATTCCAAACTACAGGTATTGTTTACATAAAAATCTAATACACATGTATGTTGTAAACACATGAAACTGACAATTCTTAATGTCCCTAATGATTAGAACACTTCTTATGTGCATTTAATTTTCATTAATGTATTTCTATCATCAATTTCAAATTACTATACACTGGCATTCAGAAAAACGATCCCTATCTAGCTTTAAGAATTTTTTTTTCTATTCCTTATCTTCAACGTATGTCATATCTTCATTTTACAGGCATAACGGTGCGTGGCAAAGCAATATATTTCTCAACTACTTTTAATTCTCTTTCTTTTTTTTTTTTTTTTTGGTCAATTTTTTATCAACAGAGATCCTCTTGTTCTTTTCTAAAATAATTTTCATACTGGGGTGATACTCCCCCAAAAAATGACAGCTTGATGAAATGTATGCAATCCAAAACAAATAAGAGAACAAAAAGTCACATTTTCCCAAAACTACAGAAAATATTAAACAATTGCATCTGAGACATTACTGCTTCACCCAATTCAATACTATCTCTCACGCTGAAAAAAAAAACAGCCAACATATCTTTTATGGAATGATGAATATATAACAAATCTTTTTAGAAAAGGTCTTGACGAAAATAATAGAAGACATTTTTTTAGTTTCCCTGAGCTTTTTCCTTTTTTTTCTTTAACCATTTACATGCAACTCCCTGAAAATTCTGTGTTCTGTAAAATCTCGAAAGCTAGTGATGACATTGCACTGGTAAGAAGCAAAAAGAAAACATCAATATTAACTTTTTTTTTTTACTACAATTCTATTCAATTTTATATTTGTGTTTTGTGAAATTTGTTTAATCCAAATTGTTTTATTCCAGAGATGTCTTTTTTTTAATTTGCAATATTTGTGACATCTGCAAGTTTCCAAATTTTTTTGCATGCATCACTCCATAGAAATAAGAAAACATAACATCAGAAGTGTTTGGGTACATTTTCTAAGCATGTAGACTTCTGTGCGTTTTTACTTAAAAAATATAAATATCTTTGACTATGATCAGATATGTCTTAAAATAAAATATCATTTAATGGATATAATATTGATGATTAAGTTTAATTCTCATAATTAAACATTTTATTTCAAATTTTAAATATTGATTTGAAGATGTGGAATTTCAATAAAAAAATTATACATAAATGATTTGATAATAATGTCTTTTCATTTGTTAAATGCCATTTAAATCACAGGACAAGACTTGATTTACGTCATCTCAACAATACTTGTACTCATAGTCATTACTGAATAGAAACTCAAGATTTTATGAAGTGTATGGGTTTATAAGAAATGTCGTCCTCATTTCAGTGACAATGACAATGAATTTATTCTCATAAACTGACATAAAGTACATTGTTGATACAAATTACAAGCATATTAAAATATATGCATAGGTGAAAAAGAAAAGGAGACATTTGCTATAGCACTATCATTATTCATCGGGGTACTTTATTGTTGAATACGATAATATGATAATTTCTTTGGTTAGAAATAAAACATTAAACACATGAAAATTGTACATCAAGCTCTTTAAGATTAAAATAAAGAAAACTTTTTTATCAAGAAAAAAAAATGCATGATATTCTATTTTCCCTATGACTTTGCAAGACAATCGTCATATACAGAAGGACAACTGTCCAACACATATATTATTCGTTGTATGTTGTTAGAAGAATCTTAAAAGAAATAAATTGAATCGAAATCAGTAAAAAAAAAAGTGAGGGAGGGAAATGTTGGATGAACTAATCTAAACAATTTTAGGGGATCAATTAATAAAATGTGTTGTAAATTATAGTGAATGGATGTAGGCGTTTGTTTTTAGACCTGCAGCAGTAGCATACGTTACTGTGAAAAACATCCTTAAATACCTCATCAGTACAAGTTACATCTCATATAATTCTACATTTTATAAGACATAGAAATGATAAAGGAATTTTCGGAATAATGAATCAGTTGTATTGCAAAATCTTGTAAAAAAATAAATAATTAAATAAATAAAATTAATTCTTTTTTATATATGTACATACATTTATATAATTCAATATTTCTTTACATCCTTAAAATAATCATATTAGGAAACTGTAAATTAAAGACTTAATTGTCTTGTAACAATTCTTTCCGTTGGTTTGGACGGATTTGGTGTTTTTAATCTAAGAATAACTTACATATATATATAATTAAAGAATATCTTAGATTTAAACGTAGTTTTCATTTTAGATTTTAACGTAGTTTTCAATTGACTCTAAAGAAATTTTAAAAGAACCTTAGAAAAAAATCATTTCTTGCATCTGGGACAAATTGTGTATGTAAAAGTTTATCAGAAACTCCAATGTGTGAACATTGCACTGACTCTGTTGATGCCTACCATTACTTTTTGTATGTCCAAATTATAAATTTCCAATAGACGTACTTTTTCAATCAAAACATAATATTATAAACTGTGACAATCTCTCAGAATATGAATTGTTATTAAATGGTAGTCCTAATCATGGACTTAATATCAATATTCAAATATTTGAAGCTGTACATACATCTATAGCAACAACAAAACGTTATATAAAACACTGTCATATATACATGAATGTTATATTTCCAAACCGGTATTTCTTTGTAATTTTGCCTAATTTTCTCTGTAATTTTGCTCATTTTTCTCTGTAATTTTATTTACTGTTTAATTCTCTTTTTTTCTTCTTTGGTACATCATTACTTTTTGCTTTGTTTTCTGCTTTGTTTAAACTTTATGTATTCACTTTGTCCTAGATATAGGAAGAAAGCTAAAATAAGCTGAGCCTGCTGCCCAATCATATTCACTTCTGTTACTAATATATTGTTTAATTTAAACTGTATATAAAGAAAAATCCTATCTTTATACCAAATAGACTACCCTGTCCACCTTAATGATAATTTTCACCTATAGTCTCCTTTAGTCACATACAAACAACTTCTGATTTTTTTTTAACATCTTCTTTACAAATGCTCATTTAATAAATACGACATATAGCTATGAATTTGTGGCCATTTTTGTTGTTTATGATAAAACCGTTTTATGTATTAGATTTGTACATTATAAACATATATGTTCGTATCATTTCAGCGTTTTTGTCATTTCTTTATTTAGAACTCAAAATCTGCGAGAATAAAATTATAATATTAACTGTTAAGATGGGAAAAAATACAACAAAAGCATAAAGCAAACGGAAGGAGTCATTGAAGACATTCATCAGATATTTTACAATGAAGGTTTTATGATAGATTAATGAAAAGGAAGGAAACCTAAACATGAAAATTTGCCAGCATTTACCAATCTTGGAAGATAATCCTTAAAATCAAAATTATGCAATAAGATAAAAATTGGCTGATCTGTACATTCAAACATTAGAACACACCATGTCTATTAATTTTTGGGTTTGTTGTTAACGTTTATCGTTATGTCTAAAAGCTTGTCGATCTCAGGAGGAATGTATTTCTTCAGAAGTTCCCTTGTACAGCTCCAAAGAAAATTTTGATATTCAGGGTCTCTGAAAGAGAAATAATTACTTTTAATTAATTATATTTTCACTAATGTAAATGTTAATTTTTGTTTTCATATTTTCAATGTAAAAAAAAAATAAGATAGGTGATATGAAGGAAGACTTCCATCCTACTAAATCTAACATATATCATTGGAAAGATCTAGGAATGTGTTATTTAATATTCATATAAACATAATGCGTCACATGCCTTGATAATAATCGTATTGATTTACTCAAAACTATAAAATGATATTTATTGTTTATATATTCATAAATGAAAACAAAACAAATATCCTATGTATAAAGGGGCTCTAAGTAATTAAACATTCTTTTAAGAACATGTTCTGTATTTTTTTTTTTATTGTATTGCTTCATATCAATAGTATTTTTCCATTTGCTTAGCGATAAAAAGCATATTTCGTACACAACCCCTTACTTTCCCTTTGTACATAGGCACTGTATATGATGTTGAATATGGGGCGTTAACAAGATAGCCTATACCTATAGGATAAAGCAGTTAGAGAACTGATAGATATAGCCTACCTTGTTAAGGTGGCAGATGAACACCCCATATCACTGCTTTGTTTAGGACATACTTTATATCTAGTCCTTCCAATGGCCAAAACTTTGTTGCATAATATTTTTACTAGTCCGTACATTTCCCAGGATACAACTGGGTGATAGTTTTGTAATGTTTTTGTATGTATATATATATGTTTTTGATTTATTGTCATTTATTGAAGGAGTGTTGTATTTTGTACCTGTCGCAACACATCACATGTTCTTGATTTTGGTGTAATATTCTTTTTGCGACTTTTTACATGGTTTTATGTTTTATGCAGCTCTTTTGCTTTGTGCTCCTTAATAAATGACCATTTTTATTCTTTATATGGGAGTTGAGTCTTCTTACTTATATGGAATATGGGAAGGCAGGCATAAAACAAATTTATGTCAATAAATAGTTTATGCATGTTGACCAGGACACGTGTATTTGTTTATGTTTACTTTGATGTTGTCTTTTGATAGGTATTTTTAGTTCAAGCATGCGCACTTGATTTTTATGCATATTAGCTAGTCGGCGCATGCGCATTCATAGTCCCTTATGTAAACATCCACAATATTTTTACTGTCTGCCACCACCCTCCCCTCCACCTTCATTTTATTTTTACAACCAATTGGGCAGATGAACACCCCATATCACTGCTTTGTTTAGGACATACTTTATATCTAGTCCTTCCAATGGCCAAAACTTTGTTGCATAATATTTTTACTAGTCCGTACATTTCCCAGGATACAACTGGGTGATAGTTTTGTAATGTTTTTGTATGTATATATATATGTTTTTGATTTATTGTCATTTATTGAAGGAGTGTTGTATTTTGTACCTGTCGCAACACATCACATGTTCTTGATTTTGGTGTAATATTCTTTTTGCGACTTTTTACATGGTTTTATGTTTTATGCAGCTCTTTTGCTTTGTGCTCCTTAATAAATGACCATTTTTATTCTTTATATGGGAGTTGAGTCTTCTTACTTATATGGAATATGGGAAGGCAGGCATAAATATCCTATGTATAAATCAATAACGTTTTAATTTACATTTAAGCATGTGAAAAATATGCATTTGAATTTTGTAACATGCAAAGAACAGTATGTGGAAAAGAAATACTAATGCAGAATTAATCAAATGCACAAATTAATTTCCAATGTCTTAAACACAAGTTCGTAAATAAACATTGTGTTCCCTTTTCTTGCTATGTATTCTGGTAAGTCTATACTCCAAGTCATCAAAGGACTGAAACTATATATCGCATAAAAAGGGATATGACGTAGATAAGCTATGTAGAGTTATCTTTCTTGGATTAAATTCTTACCTTCCTGTTTTGCTGGGCCAGCTGGGGGCAGCTCTTGAATGTTTGTAATATCCACGACTTATACCAATAAGTTCCGGGTTCACAGCTGCATATACAGTCGTGGCACAGCCTGTGTGAGGGGTCTTAATTTGTCCTAAATTTAGCCCGTTAATATGTGAATATCATGTCTGGTTATATTAAATGTTCTTCATAGAGTAATTGAAAAAAAATATAAGTAATTAATAAAATTTCAGAAAAAAACATCTTAAATGTACCAATAAACGCCCTGTGAAGTATGAAAAAGTCGTCATAGCCTGACATTTTCTTGAATAAAATGAAATGAAAATAACTTGCTTAATTGTTAAAGTAATTCACTTTTTAGAAAAATATTTTTGCTAAGCAATTGTTTGACTTTACCGAAACAATCCATGCAAAATTTTCGAACCCCCGGCTGCCCTTCAGGTAGTGCAGTCCGGAACAGTTCCGTGTCCACTGTTCCGGGATTTACACAGCAGACTTCCACATCAGAATCGAGAAGAATCTTATCAACACAGTACATTTGCATAATCTGTAATATTATATATTCTGTTTTATCTAATCATATGCATTTTAGCATTATTACAATGGTAGTATGAATAAATAAATATAATACAAATTTCTTTCTGCAAATAATTACTTTTTTAAAGTAAAAAATAATTTCCACTTATTATTAGAATATTCTAACCTGGAATAGTTTTGTGTTGTTATAGATGGAGTCGGCGTCAAACGGATTGGATTTTCCATGCTCGGCGAGATTAACGTCAAACTTCGCTTTATGGTGTGCCTCACTGCAGACAAACACAATGCGACAGTCCTTTCCTGATTTCATCAGAAGGGGAATCAGATGAGCAACAATCAGAAAATGGCCCAGATAATTCACCTGAATGGTATTTTAAAAATAATAAGTCAAACGAATAGTAAATTAACCTATACGTAGCAATACGAGTACACTGTTTTAAAAAGGAATATTTTTTTTTTTAACTTGAGTTCATTGATATATACATGTAAGCATTTTAAAAAAGCAAACATATATTAACCTAATATTAATTTTATAATTATTATTATTATTATTATTTTTTTTTTTTTTTTTTTTTTTTTTTTTTTTTTTTTTTTTTGCAATTTTTAATATTGGAGGGTTGTGAGGGAAATCAATTTGCTTCTTATTCTTGTATTTTTCTTTTCTTAAAGCTATATATGGCGTATCTAAGTTAAAAAATAAAAATACGAGGTTGAGTGTAGATGAACATGATATTTGCTATTTACGTTCAAATTAAAATTTTCACAGATTTTGAACTTGAATAACCCCACGTTTCTATAGTTAAATTGACTTAAAACTGTGTCTGATATTTAAATGCGGAGTCGGTAAATAAATCGCTTATGGTTTTGAATTTGTAATATATATGAAACGCGATTGATTTAAATTGTGTAATTTACAGGAAACTCCTATCTTTATATAAAGTAATAAAACAAATAGAAAGATTTTTTTTTAACTTTAGTTAGTCTGAACTTATCAAAACCACCCCATATATGACTTTAAATGTCCTGATCTCTTTTAATTTTAATTCTTCTATATCAAAAGAGATATTATCGTGGTTTCTTCAGAGTAGAAAGAGCAGAATTACTATGTAAATTCGAATTTGAAATACGACTTGAAAATAATCACATGACCTATTCACAATCAAATGGGCATGAAATTACATGTAAGATTTCAATGTGATCGTAAAGAGAAAATTGTATCTTTAGTTCAAACGTGTAATTTGAGAGGAAAAAACAAATGACAACCTTTTTAGTTTATGTCACCTTGTTAGGTAAATTAAACAATGAGGAAAATTACATATTTTCTTTTTTTTTTTACCTGATATGTCAACTCAAAATTATCTTCTGTCATCACTAAAATAGAAAAAAAAACAAATCAGTAAGTTTCTGCGAAAGATATAAATACTAATTTCTTTATTTTACTTTCCTTTACAAATATACTTTTATAAGATTTAGAAAACACCAAAGGCTTTTAAAGAGTTAAGAATTTACTACTCATTTGCCAGGTGAAAATATCTATTGAAACATGTGTATTTAAATTATATAATTTCTTTAGAAATAACATATTAATTAAATGAATAATTAATATAAATCAGGTCCTTATGCAGTCACAGAACTAACTATTTCAATTTTCTATATAGTATTGTTGTAAGGGAAAGATAAATCAGCTTAATAGAAAAGATTAGAAAGCAAATTAAAGAAATAAACTCTACATTACATGTTTAAGACGGACCGACCCACAATAATTCATTAATTAATTCTAATTATGGAAAGGAGTTTTAACTTATAAGTAAGTTGTTG